GTGGTGTTTGCTCCACCCTCTGCCCTTCCCCCAACTTGTGCTTGCTCTGTCTCTCACTCTCAAATAAATAAATACAATACTTTTTTTACAATTTAAAAAAAAATATATACTTTTAAGTAAAAATTATTAGCTTAGAAAAAATTTAGAATGCAATAAAAATCTATTTTAAAATAATAATAATCACAAGTCTGCATAGCAAAATGTGTTGAGAGTGTGGCCAAAACAGTGTTTAGAAGAAAATGGAGTCATTTAAAGGTCTTTAAATAAGAAGAAATAAGAAAGAGATATTAATGAAAAAAAACTAATATAGTGTAAAATTCCAGAATAGAACAAAGTACTAATCCAAAGCAAAATAGGAAGATAATAAAAAAGCATGAATTAATTACATGGAAAATAACTGGTATAAATCATACATAAAATTAAGAGCTGGTTATTTGAAGAGAAGAAAATTGATAAATCTGATAAATATAGTTTAATAGATGTAGAATAATTCTAGTGCATAAGGAGATCTGAATGGATGGATACTCATACATCTTACATATGTCCCTTGGATATCTGCAGCATTTATCAATGAAAAAAAAAACATTAAAGTACACACACATACACAAAATCCTAACATTCCCCAAATTAATCTCTTTCCTGGCTTCTTCTCTTTCTGGCTATCAAATGTTGGAAAGGCCTATGTTCTGATCTCTTAGATTCATCCCTACATGATCTCCTCTGGTCCTTGGGCTTTAGAGATAATCTACTTAAATTCAAACGTCCAATTTGCTATGTCTACCTTGATCTTTCTGATGATCACTAGATGTTTATATTTAATTTCTTACTCAACACCTCTAATTCAGTGTTTTAAAAGCATCCTTCAATTTAAACACTTAAAGCATAACTCTCTACATGCACCTACTCTCAATTTTCTTTCCCTTAGGAAATGGCACCAGAATTCACAGAGTTCCTCAGGTATCAAATCTAGGCATTATGCTTGCTACATCTCTCTCATCTCATCTCATCTCACGTGGAATCCATCGAGTAATTCTATTGTTACTATTTTTGAATATACCTAGAATTCAGTTGCTTTTTACCACCTCCATTGCAATTGCTTTAATTCATATAATCATCTCTTGCCTGGGATTTTGCAGCAATTCCAATAGGCTCCTAACCAGCCTTTCTGCTTTTCAACACCACCTCCCCAGGGGACTGGCTTATACTTTAAAAATATGTCCAGTGACTTCCCATCAGACATAAAGGAAAGTTCAAAGTCTCCCCTCACATCTCTTGGTTGACTCCTTCACTCCTTTGGCACAAATGTCAGATCACATTATCAAAAATGATGCTACATTACCACTACCCTCCACTTCCCACCTCTCTATTTCTGCTTCATTTTTTCTCACCACCTAAAATTGCAGTATTCTTTTGTATATGTGTTTGTCTGTCTATGTCTCCTTCTGGATACCAGATCAATCAATTCATATATGTCCTTTGTCCTTTTTATTACTTTTATTACTTTTTTAAAAAATTTACTCAAAAACAGCAAGTATATCTACACAAGGGCAGTCCGGGTGGCTCAGCAGCAGTTTAGCACCGCCTACAGCCAGGGTCTCATTCTGGAGGGCCCGGGATCGAGTCCCACGTCAGGCTCCCTGAATGAAGCCTGCTTCTCCCTCTGCCTGTCTCTCTGCTTCTCTCTCTCTCTCTCTCTCTCTCTCTCTCTCTCTCTCTCTCTCATGAATAAATAAATAAAATCTTTTTAAAAAAAGAGTATCTACACAAGAAGGTGAAGTGGATGGAAATCTGGAGAAGGTGGTGCATTCTCTGAGGCTGTGGAAGGTCTATGTATTATGCATGATCAGAGGCAGCAGGTACAGTGAACACAGTAGTTTGAATACATGCTAGGAATTAGAGCTTTCACACAAAAAATGAAGATGCTATGACCTCAGTAGAGAACAGCTATACTGATAAATGCCTGCTAGAAATACAGACAAGCCCCAGAAGTACTACCTGCCAACTATAAAATAGGAGAATGAGAGTTGAAGTGTGCTTCACCCAGACTATCTTTCTCTAATTCCAGGTGGTGCCAGGATGAATTCTTTATTTTTCAGGTGAGTCTCAATATATAAAACAAAGCATGCTGGCTTTCATCCACCTCTCAGGGGAGAATCTTAAAGAAAGAATTAAAGAATTATCTTATGGCTTCTCACTACCCCCCCGGTAGTGTGAGCATGGAAGTGCTGCAAGAGAAGTTGGGGGATCTCTTGACAACCTACAAGCCTTCCAGGAAATTGGCTGCCCCCAGGTTTAGTCGGGGGAGGAACGGCACTTTAAGTGAGTTTCAGTAAGCTCGGGAGGAACAGCCTGGACAGGGGTTCATGTCGTGTAGTTACAGACATTCACAGTCAGACAGCCTCTGGATCATCTCTTTTAGAGAACCACAGAGTGTGATTCTGACCCTTCCCAGGAGTGCTTAGGCATTGCAGCCTCAGTTAATCTACCAGTCTTTTAAACATAGATAGTACAAATCTAATAACATCCTTACATTTCAAACATAGCACTGGCACCCAAACTCAAACTGCTGTACTAAAATCAAGTGGCATTCGCCAGTTTTATATTTATGGACCAGGTTTTAGAAAATGTACAAGACAATCTGGAAGCACGGTTAAAAAATTTCATTTCAAAATAGGATTTTCTTGGGGAACCTCAGGCTCCAAAAGAAAATTGTCCTGGAGACCCCTTATCAAGACAGCCACACAAGTAGATCTAGAGCAGGGATAGCAGGGATAGAGAAAAAATACATTTTCTTAAATCTAGAAATTTCATCTTCTTCAATTAAGAAGAGACAACACCTGGGGACTAGACATAGGAGAATCTGATTTTAGGAACCAACTGATGGGATAGGACACAATTTCTCTTTCTCCATTGTTAATTCCATCTCCTGAATATAAGCTCTACTTCTACACAGGCTTCTAGCAGCTGTGGGGATGAATCTTTCTCCTTTACACTTGTCAAACCTGGATTAGGGTGGGCTTGGGAGCTTCTCCTAACAGAGAGGAATCTTGGACTTACTTTAACCCAGACCGATGTAGGGCACGTGACCACTCTTGAATCAATCACTGTGGCCAGGAGGATACCAGGCACTGATTGATTATAATGGAGGTAATTGCATTGGTTGGTGAGGCAGCAGTGTGTGTGTGCGTGTGCATGTGCGTGTGTGTGTGTGTGTGTCTGTGTGTGTGTGTATGAAATGACTCTGATTGCCTTAGGTCAAATGGGACCTGCCCCAAGTATGGTGGTGGAATCAATCCACCTAAATTGCATTTCCAATGGGATATGAGTGGAAATGGCTGTCAGAGAGTTCATTGGAGTTATTCCTAAGTCCTGGATTTCAAATGATTTTTTTTTTATTTTTTATTTTTTTATTTTTTTTATTGGAGTTCGATTTGCCAACATATAGCATAGCACCCAGTGCTCATCCCATCAAGCCCCCCCCCTCAGTGCCCATCACCCAGTCACCCCCACCCCCCGCCCACCTCCCTTCCACTACCCCTTGTTTGTTTCCCAGAGTTAGGGAGTCTTTCATGTTCTGTCTCCCTTTCTGATATTTCCCACTCATTTTTTCTCTTTTCCCCTTTATTCCCTTTCACTATTTTTTATATTCCCCCAATGAATGAATGAGACCATATAATGTTTGTCCTTCTCCGATTGACTTCTTTCACTCAGCATAATACCCTCCAGTTCCATCCACGTTGAAGCAAATGGTGGGTATTTGTTGTCATTTCTAATGGCTGAGTAATATTCCATTGTATACATAGACCACATCTTCTTTATCCATTCATCTTTTGATGGACACCGAGGCTCTCTTCCACAGTTTGGCTATTGTGGACATTGCTGCTTATAAACATCGGGGGTGCAGGTGTTCCGGCGTTTCACTGCATCTGTATCTTTGGGGTAAATCCCCCCAGCAGTGCAATTGCTGGGTCGTAGGGCAGGTCTATTTTTAACTCTTTGAGGAACCTCCACACAGTTTTCCAGAGTGGCTGCACCAGTTCACATTCCCACCAACAGTGCAGAGGGTTCCCCTTTCTCCACATCCTCTCCAACATTTGTGGTTTCCTGCCTTGTTAATTTTCCCCATTCTCACTGGTGTGAGGTGGGATCTCATTGTGGTTTTGATTTGTATTTCCCTGATGGCAAGTGATAAGGGAATCTTTCTTTTAAATGAAAGGGTTGCCATGATGGGCATGTGATCAATGAAATCTACCAGTTTGCCCTTAATGGCATCATCAGGAAACTACTGGCTGCCTACAGCATGCTGGAAAAAGCTCATAAATGAGCAGCAAAGGAGATAGCTTGGAGATCACACTGTTTAGGGTTGTAGGGATGTCCTTCAAGATGGGGAATATATTTTAGAACATTGGCTATTCAGTGGTGCTTTGTTTTCCATAGGTAGAACATACTGGCCTACGAGCCCAGGGTCTCTTACTGTAGCTTCTAGTTGTGCAGGTGCTGGGTCATATGGTAGGTGTAGAATTGATTTGGTTAAGTAATATCAGATGGTTTTCTCCAAAAGGCCATCAGCAGTGCTTAATTGCTCCAGAGAGCCCCATTTTTCCACTAACACCTGGCATTACCTAGCTTTCTGAGTTTTCCCCTGTAGTAGGGAAACACAGGTCATGGGTATAGGGAAAGGGCATCATATATGTAGGAGCCCAGAGAATTTCCGTGAGTCTTCTTTATTTCTTCATTTCTCACTCTGCATACCAGTGGGCAATGAGAAACTCTCCTCAGTAACAGTTCTTTGAGAGAACAAAGTTCTAGAAATTCTGGGGGCTCTGAGGCTCCTTTGGGGTAGATTTGGAAGAGAAGACACAACTGAACACAGAGAAGTTTGTGTGAGAAGTTTATTTCACAGACCACAACAGATACTCCAGCCAAGTTTTCTTTGTAGAACCACCCTGGGGGGCAGTTAGACCAAAGCTTCCAACAGGATCAAGATACTGTTATGTTCTTCACAGTATAAAAATATTTTGGTCCATTGGGCACCACTGCTTTGTAAGGGGCAGATATCTTCTTTTCAATAATAATGTGGCCAATGCTATTATTGACATAGTTTCTGAAAGAGACAGGACAAAGATGTTCTCTGATTACAGTCTAACCCCATTTCTTGGTTTTTCTCCTAGCTTCAGGCACCTCCCCACAGGGCCCAGTTTCCCCAAATCATTTGCAAATGTATCTCCCTTATTAGCTTTTCTCCTACAACCTCTCACTCACCTTTCACACTTGAGCATAGTCCCCATCTACTCTCCCCTCTTCCCTCCTTTGTCTCTACCCTTCTGCCCCAACACTCTGCTCACATCTGGAGTCACATTTCTTTTTATGTTTTCCCCCACCCTAGCAGATCGTTCTTCCCTTGAATGACCCCTGTACTTACTATTGACTTCAAAGTCCCAGTAGAAAGTTCTTGGATTACTGTCACAGAGACAGGCAGTGTAAACATAGTTAAAAGGCCCTTCCATTGGATTGCGACTTAGGAGGGAACATTGGATCTGAGGAGGAGGAGGTGGGAAGAGAGGACCTTGTGTTAGTCTGGGGAGTTGTAAAGGGAGAGAAAGATAAGGGAATCTGAAGAAAGAGGAGGAGGGGGAGGAGGACAACATCCTTCGTGCACAAAGAACAGGTACAGATATAGACCAGAGGCACCGTGGAGTCCAATTTTGTAGTATCATTTTGGGAACTAAAGTCTATGTGAGAAGATTTCCTGTCAACATGTCTTCAAATTCCTGCTTTAGCGCCACCATGGGGCTTGGCTCTGATGGGAAGAGTTAGTGAATTGACAAGACAAGGAGACCACATTCTGGGGCAGCCTTCATCTAGGGAGCAGATTTACTTTGGTTCCCTGGTGAGGGCTTTCAGGAACCTGTCTGTGACCACAGCTTGGCTTTTGTGTAGGGAGGCCAAAACCAGGACTTGTTGCCAGAATCGTGCTCCTCTTGATCTCTGTGACCTTTGATGACTGAAGTGACAGCTCTCAGTCTCTCTTTCCTCAGCTGTGAGAGGGAAACAGTTACCTACCAAAGTTGTTGGTTAGATAAACAAACAAAATCTCGAAGGTAAATTTTCTTTTTCCTTTTTTTACTTTGAGAGGGCTTTACAATTTGAGATATGTAAGCTTCAGCAGCATCAGGAAGCTTTTGTCTGATTAGTGTCCGGCAAGGGGGTGTTATCCTGGGGTGTATAGACCCTCTCAGGGGTCTGCATATAGAATTCACTGAGTCTGTGAACTCGGATGGAAAGAAATTGTATCTTTATTAACCCGTCACTAAAATTAAGTGTTCTGTTACGTCATCAACAATCCTCAGTGGCATTAGCAGTATGCGTGATTTTATCATGGAGAGAAACGTAGATATGTTTGCATCACTTATAGGTTTATATATCTCAGAATATTGCCTGTTCTGATCGCTACCTTGAACCCAGGGACATTATCATGAGGTTGCATGGTCATGGCCAGGGGCCGTGCCCATCTCCTGAAGCTTGCCCAGCTAACTGGCAACCGTGCACCGAATAGCCTGTCAGCTACAAACGGTGAATTCAAGCAAGCATTCTCACCGTTAGAATTTTACTTTGGAGATCCTGGTGTTTCTTTCAAGAAACCTACCGTTGCCTGGTTTCCCTTTTTTATTGGCATTTACAACAGTTTATCCAAATGATTAGAATTTTCAGCACTTAAATACTCAAAACAAAAAAAATCCAAATCCGTTGGAATCCACTTGTCAAAACCCAGTACACAGTAGAAGCTACTTATTCAAGGTGAGCAGCAAGAGCAACAAGAGCCATTACATAGATAATCTTTATAAAATAAAATTTAACTTGTTTACATTTTAAATATATTGCCTTTTTAGCTAATGTACTGATAAAGAATGTAAATAATACCAGCTTAAAAGTTATTTGTTTGTTTGTTTGTTTGTTTGTTTATAAGTAAGCTCCAACACAGGGCTTGAACTCAGGACCCTGATATCAAGACTTTAGGTGAGATCAAGAGTTAGACACTTAGTCAAATGAACAACCAAGACACCCCTCAAAAGTTTTTGTTTTTAATAATCCGATCACTGTGTTTCATGATGGTAGCTTCCCTGTATAATCCAATGCATTTCAGGCACACATTTAAAAGCAATTTTCTGATGTGTTCCCTAGACTTCACGAGACCAGCAAAATGCTCTACACACAAATGTTTAAGTACTGTGGTTTGCCATAAATTCTCTTCAACCTTAAAAGATTATACAATGTGGGCAGCCCGGATGGCTCAGCAGTTTAGCGCCACTTTCTGCCCAGGGCGTGATCCTGGAGACCCGGATCGAGTCCCATGTCAGGCTCCCTGCGTGAAGCCTGCTTCTCCCTCTGCCTGTGTCCCTGCCTCTCTCTCTCTCTCTCTCTCTCTCTGTGCCTCTCATTAATGAATAAAAATAAAAAATCTAAAAAAAAAAAGATTATACAATCTTTATAATCCAATACACGATTGAGAGTATAATCTATTTTAAATTTGTGATCCTAATACCTCACTTAATCAAAAATTTGCTTGTAAAAAACACAATTGTTTAAAAAATGAGGGTTCGGTACTAGAATCTTCACACATAGAAGAATTATGTTTTCTTAACATTTAAAAATATGAAGATGTTTTTATAGACAGATTTTTTTTTATATTGGAAGCTACAAATAAATATTGGTTAATCACAAGCACACCTGGATGGCTCACTTAGTTAAGTGGCTGCCTTTGGCTCAGGTCATAAGAGCCCCACTGGCTGCCTGCTCAGCCAGGAGTCTGTTTCTCCCTGCCACCCTCCTCCTTTCACTTGCTCTCTTTCTTTCAGATAAATAGATAAAATCTTTTTTAAAAAAGTCTAAAAAAATTGGTTGACCAGACTAACAAAATTTCCCATAAATTCTAATTTGTGATATCCTTTATTTTATGAGATTCCTTGTACCTGGGTAAGTTTTTAAAGATTGCCTTTTTATTGTAATTAGCATTGTTCTTAAAATATAGTCCTATTAGCCACGGTAGCACAAAATTATTTTATGTGGGGTGTTGTTGATTAAACACATATTTTTTTATACTCATCACTTTCTCAGAGGTAGAAACAGACTTTTTATTATCATCACCAGAAACTACCATGATCACAGGACTTTTATGCACACATTCTCATTCCTTTTGTCACCTGTGGTTATGATAAATAAACAAAATTGAAAGATTATGATGTGGCTCCCTTCCACCTCCAATCAACATACAAGGTGCAAATTCTTGAGGTGTAAACAGACAAATCTGACAAAGCAGCTATGCTGCTGTTCTTTACTCAGTGACCAGAGTCTTTCTCTTACAGGTATGGGGCCATGTCTAGGACATATTCTAATGAATAGCAATCCTCATGCTCCCAATTTTGTTTTTGATTTAATCATCGTACTTAAATCTAATTTGAGTTAGGAAACTCCTGTAGGGAAACACTTGTGCTGCCTGAGAGAGTGCTATTCTAGAAAGAGGCAAGGGGAGACATCTGGGTCTTGGCCCTAGAACAGTGCCAGCTAACAAGGGGCAAATTGTGTGTGTGTGTGACAAACACATGAGAAGGCTGCTGGCAGGAGGGAGAAGGACACACACTCTTCCCTGGGGAAGAGTCTCCGTGGACTAAACCGGCACAGGTCCCTTCTCCTCATGGCCCAGACAGCCAGACAGGAGCGATAGTGCACAGGCGAGTCTCAACACACATTTCCATTTGAGAACCTCTGATCTAGTAAAAGGATTGGACCTCCCCCTCCCACAACTGCTGAATTAGAGAAAGTGGTGAGGAGAGTGTGGGCTCCTTGTTGAGGAGAGGAGGCTGGAACAAGAATGAACCTGTGATGATAGAGCAGAAGAGCAAAGAGAGGGGTGATAAGCACAGCCTCTGCTCAGAGCTTACTCTAGAGGAGGCAGTCGTATCCCATGTGCTCTCGGCACCATACCTCTTCTGCCCACCTGCCTCAATCCTCTGGATGAGGGTGCAGGTTTTTTTGTCAGAAAAAACACCCTTCATCTCAAACAATCATGCCCAGGACTTGGGGGAATTCTTACCTCTCCTCCCCCAGCCCTTATGCTTTTTCCTCTCTTCTCCCTCTTAGCTGGACTTTTCTCACTACTCATTCCTTCTTTCCTTCTCATCCTTCCTATACCTCTCTGGACCAGGTTCTCGTCTGTAAAACCAGAATAGTAATCTGCCCCAAGGTCTGATGATTGTTCTGAGGCTCGAGTAGCATAACATGTGTGAGAGATTGGGAGCATAAGGATTGTTATTCATCCTGTTATTAAGTATAATATGCAACATATTAAACTGAGAGATTAGTCTGATTGTATTCATAACTAAGGAGTCAGATTTTTCTTGAGTTCACTTCCCCAGGCCTCTACTTACCACCATACATTCTCTTAATTCTGTTTGAACTTTAACTGTCACAGAGATTTCTTCATTTGGTGCTGTTTTTCTGGGCATCTGCACTTCCATTGATAACACTTTTCGGCTGGTTATGGGAAGAAAGAAGCAGGACAGAGATCAAAGGTCTACCCACAAGAGATCGGGGCACAATGAGCAGAGCAGAGGGAACAGGGAAGGTGCAAGGGGAAGGGAATGATGAGATCTGAATCATTTGCTGAGCATCATAACCCCTGGGAATCTTTGATTCTTGTTTGGTTCGATTGTTTTCTACAGACTTTGTTTTGTTTAATCAACCGTGATGCTTTATTTATTTATATTTAAATTCAATTTGCCAACATATAACACCCAGTGCTCATCTCATATGCCCTCTTTAGTGCCCATTGAGCATCATCATTTTTTCCAAATAAAATCCTGCAGGTTCTATTGATTGTCCACTAAGTGGGAGGGTTCAAGTCATCATTAGTACAATATTCCGTAACAACAGAATCCTATTAAACTATAAACATCTTAATGCACTGGAGGAATTTTGAGTCATCCTTGAGCTCTTCCTTCTTTGGTTCCTGGTGGGGCCTAAGAATTTGTATTTCTGTATGTCTGCAGTGAATTTGGACACATGACCGTATTTGGGAGCTTTAGATGCCACCCTACTTTGAAGGCACATAACACAATCTGATGGGAAAAGGAAATGGAGGCAGAGAGAAGTCAAAGATTCTTCTGTCACGGAGAACTGGTTTCAGGACCAGGAAAGTTACTTTCTGTCTCCGGAAACTCCTGGCTGAGCTCCTTTGGTGTTGGGTGGGACAAGAGGGAATTCAGGTTTTTGGCTGCAATGCCTTATGGTCTCATTTTCCTAGAATAAAGCATCTCTGATTTTGGAGATACTTCATTGCTTGTGCCAGGTGCTCTGGTGCTCAGTGCACAGGAAAGGGGTGTGAAGACTTAAATGTCTTTAAAATTCCTCTCATTTGTAAATGAATTTAGGATTGATAAGATGATCCACTTAGCTAGAATGAGTGATTGGATCAGCTTGCCCAGGAAGGAGAAGCTTCCCGAAATGAGGGCCTTTCAGTGCTAACACCAAGAAATTCCTGGGCAAACAGGGGATGGCTGATCACCCTAATTAGCACAGCTTTATTTCGACAAGTTGCTGCCCCCTCAGGGCTACACGGCGTGACATTTATCTCTGAACCTGTGCCTACTCAAGGTTTTTCAGGACGCTGCCTGCACTACACTGACCTGTCAAAAACTGAATGGTTTACTCCAGGACAGGGTATCTAGTTGTGTCACAGAGGGTACCATCAGAATCACAATCCAAAAACCCAGCATTTAAGACCATACTCCTATAGAGAAAACCCTCTAGAATTTCTAAGTGTCCTTGCTTCCCCCAGACCCTGGCTCCATTTCCTACTTCATTTTGCCTAGTTTTCCTGCTTGCTTCAAATATGTACCTTCAATGATTTGGCTTCTGAAATTGTGCTCCTGGGTCCTAGTGTGGGTAGTGGGGTGAGTGTGTACTTGCTTTTGTCTCTGGGCTTCAGAATAGGACAGAATGTCTAAGCTGCTGGGCTGGCTCAACCTTGGACTATGGCATGAAGGCTCAAGTGATCAGGGCCTCTGATCCTTTAGTGAGTCCTGCCAAAACTGCTCAAAGCTATCATTGGAACTCACAGACCTGCTAAACCTTCTGTTCTAGGAGGCAAGGTATGAGAATGTAAAGTTCACTGAGCAGAAATCTAATAAAGGTAAAGACTATGGACAGGATGTGGACCAGAGCCATAGAGCAAGACTGATTGTTAACTACAGGCTTTATACACGCTGGGAACCATGTTTCCCTGGACAACCTAAAAGCACCAAGTGAATATAGGAGGGAAGTTACTAGAGCTTCCTAAGAGGAGAGAAGTGGGACTTGACATGGGATTTATGAGATTCCCTAGGACTAAGTTTCAGGGACATCAGGAAGGGATAAACAGATTTCAAGGCTAGGTTAGGAGCCCTCCCTGAAGGGATTTTTGTGAGGGAGAGAAAGGCTTGGCTCACGTGTCTTCCTCAGCTTTGTTGGTCCTGAACTGCAGACAGAGAACCAGGAGCAGAATGGCAGGGCCGGCTCTGAACAGGAGCTGGAGAAGGTGCATGTTGGAGGAGACAGGATGTGACGTCCTAGAGAAGTACTGGCCCCGGTGCCCGGCATACTCCTTATATGCAGATCGAGGAAGTGGGAGAGTTGCCAAGAGGATCCATGTGGTCAGTTACCCAATTATCCTTCCCACCCATGCTCTTTCCTTGTTGAGAGAGTTTGTTTTTCTATGGAAAAAGTCAACATTCAGCTATTGTTACAGATTGGGAGAGGAGTTAGATTATCCTTCCTTATTTACTTAGCATCCAGAGTTTCTCAGAGTGTGCAGGACCTCAAAAGACAGAGAAGCTCTTTTCTAGGTTACAGAACTATTTTCTTTTCCCTGCCTGCTGTATGTAGCCTTAAAAACAGTGTGCTCTCCTAGTCTCTGAGGCAGAAAACCCAACCTGTGGTAGCAGATTTCAGATCACAGCTATAGGACATCTTTGCTTAATCCCCTTGTAATAAGTTCAAGAGGAAATGTTCTTCAAAAAAAATTTTATAGGGCTCCTAAGGTGATCAGGATTCTCCTAGGGGCCACCACTAATCATGAAAAGGGAGAAAACTAAAGGTGAGCTGCTCTAGATGATGGGGAATTAAGATCATAGAACTGGGTGACATGAATATGTCATGATTGTTGAGTCCTTAACATTAGGGGCTGTAACACACACACACACACAGACACACACACATTTTATTGGTTCTATTTGAGAATCCTAATACAGCTGGTGTTTGAGAAGGGATAATAAATGTTGAAAGGGTTGCAACAAATATTGGTTGGAAGTGTATTTGAATCTTTGGGGTGAAATCAGGTTCTAAACTCACAATAAAGTAGGCATTCCAGATGGAAAGGGCAGATGGAGAGTAGAGAAGATAAGGCAGCTGGGCATGTGGTACTCGATTTTTGATGTCATTTTTGCTGGGCTTCCAGATGCTTCAGTGTTGCTTCAGTAGATGATAAATTCCTGGGATATAAGACAGATTATTGTCTATGGAACAATTTTCAGAGGCACTGCATGATGATATTTATGTATATTTTAGTTTAAAAATCATTATATTTTTAAAAGATTCTATTTATTTATTTGAGAGAGACAGAGTGAGAGCATGAACAAGGGGAGAGGGAGAAGAAGAGGCAGTCTTCCTCACTGAGCATGGAGCCAGATATGGGGCTCAATCCGAGGACACCTGAGCCAAAGGCAGACTTAACCAGCTGAGCCACCCAGACCCCCCAAAATCAGTATTTTTAAAATGATGGTCACATATTGGTCAAGGGTATCATGGAAATTGATACCAAAGAATAATGGAACATGGTGAAGATGCTTACAGGCTGTTTTTTATCTTTTATTCCATCATGTATTTTTGATTATAGGACTTCCCAGTATTTTAGTCTGATGTAAATGTTTGCAGATATTTGTTAAAACAATTTTGACTAAATCAGCAATAACTATTTATGCTAGCAACTGATATGGTTTGAAGGCCAATAGCCAATAAATCACTGCAACATAATTTCAACTGCTACCCACACTGCATTGAAGATCTGAATGGAGATGAACAGTATCAGGCAAACCTTGGTTTTAGTTTGGTTTTAGGAACTACACAAGTCCACCGGCAAAAATCCATGTGTCCTGAGTCTGTTCCACAGTTGACTCAAAGGCATCACTATTCATGGGGTTGAATATATCTGAAAAGATCAAAATTTCAGAGGGAAGATAGAATCTCAGCAAGTGGTGCAGTTCTATAGATGGTATGTTGGAAAGTTTTCAGAATGTTATTTATGACAAAAGTTTGAGGATAATATCATCTTCTTCTTGCTATTTTTTTTCTCCTTGCTATTATTTAGAAAACTAATCTTTAGATGCCTCCTGGGGGAGAAAATTAAACCAAAATTTTCATGTCCTTTAAGTAATGAACAGGTCTGGTAGGTTTCAAAAAACAAATAGAGGTTGATAAAATCAGATTGTAAACAACTGAAGAGGCTCATGGAAGAGAATGTGCAGGTGCAAGGGGAAGGGATTAAGGTTTAAAGAGAAGCTTGCCATAGGCTAAATTTGCAAAGAGAAAGGTGATCCTAAACCTGACAGAGGTCACAAAAAATGAAGATAAGAAATGACCAATAAAGGGAGTTAAAGAAGCCAATGCACATTGAACACGCATACTATGTGTATGACACTGTGCTATAAACATTTTACATGTATTTATTCAACTCAAAACAATGCTATGGAATAGATTGACAGCTTTATTCCATTTTACAAATGGAGAAATGGAGGCACATAGATAAATATGCTGAATCCAAGCCACATAGCCAGTAATTGGTGGAGCCAAGTTTGGATCCACGTTTAGTGGAATCCAAAAATTTTGTTTTACAATATTGGGAATCTCTTTCAGAAATAGAATGCAAGTTTTCAAACATAAAATACAAATACAGGACTTTGGGAGAGGTTGTAAGGTGCCCTGAGACTTCACATCACTAACTTTATGGTGGATACATCTTTGGATGAACCAGAATTTGAATGCAGACTACTCCACTGCCTGCCATTGAGGACAAGGCCCCCGTGAGGAGGCCCAAACACTAATAGAGTCCCAAAGAAGGAAAATTCAAGGCCTACTATAAGCAAACATTTATCTTCCAGAGCTGACCATGATAAGGTGTTTCCCCATAAAATTCATGTGAACAATCTTAGCATCCATCTCTTTTTTTATGAATTAGTCTTTCTACCCATTATCTACCTAGTTTTTTTCAGATAATCTATACTACAAATATTGATTGAGCACCTAACTTTACAGAGAGGTTTAAGGTGATGGGCATACAGAAATGAATAAGATAGAAAATAATGGGTGAGGCAGTCAAAATAACAAATTTAATAGGATGTGATAAGAATTGTAATATTAGTTTCTGTTTAATGAGGACTATTAAGCATTTTACAGGTTTAACCTAAATGGAGTGGGCACTTGTACGACCTGCTTTTGTCCATCCATAGATTTTACAAAGCATCCAAGCAAACATACCTAAAAATGATAAAATAACAATTTGATTCAGAAGTTTTAAATAATATCAAAGTTCTTTACTATCGTTATACTTTCGGAGATATGGAGAAGTTATACACATTACATTCCACAGACATCTTTCTTAATGTCTTTCTCAGTCTGCACATTTTCCTCTTAAAGGTAGCTGCTAGAGAGTTCTGTGTCTCTTGTCAGTGTGCTATACCCTCCACCATGGTGTTTCTCCCATTCTCTCTTTTTTTTAATAAATTAATTTTTTATTGGTGTTCAATTTACCAACATACAGAATAATACCCAGTGCTCATTCCGTCAAGTGTCCCCCTCAGTGCCCATCACCCATTCACCCCCACCCCGCACCCTCCTCCCCTTCCACCACCCCTAGTTCGTTTCCCAGAGTTAGGAGTCTTTATGTTCTGTCTCCCTTTCTGATATTTCCCACACATTTCTTCTCCTTTCCCTTGTACTCCCTTTCACTATTATTTATATTCCCCAGATGAATGAGACCATATAATGTTTGTCCTTCTCTGATTGACTTATTTCACTCAGCATAATACCCTCCAGTTCCATCCACGTTGAAGCAACTTGTGGGTATTTGTCGTTTCTAATGGCTGAGGAATATTCCATTGTATACATAAACCACATCTTCTTTATCCATTCATCTTTCGATGGACACTGAGGCTCCTTCCACAGTTTGGCTATTGTGGACATTGCTGCTAGAAACATCAGGGTGCAGGTGTCCCGGCATTTCATTGCATCTGAATCTTTGGGGTAAATCCCCAACAGTGCAATTGCTGGGTCGTAGGGCAGGTCTATTTTTAATTCTTTGAGGAACCTCCACACAGTTTTCCAGTGTGGCTGCACCAGTTCACATTCCCACCAACAGTGTAAGAGGGTTCCCCTTTCTCCACATCCTCTCCAACATTTGTTGTTTCCTGCCTTGTTAATTTTCCCCATTCTCACTGGTGTGAGGTGGTATCTCATTGTGGTTTTGATTTGTATTTCCCTGATGGCAAGTGATGCAGAGCATTTTCTCATGTGCATGTTGGCCATGTCTGTGTCTTCCTCTGTGAGATTTCTCTTCATGTCTTTTGCCCATTTCATGATTGGATTGTTTGTTTCTTTGGTGTTGAGTTTAATAAGTTCTTTATAGATTTTGGAAACTAGCCCTTTATCTGATATGTCATTGCAAATATCTTCTCCCATTCTGGAGGTTGTCTTTTAGCTTTGTTGACTGTATCCTTTGCTGTGCAAAAGCTTCTTATCTTGATGAAGTCCCAATAGTTCATTTTTGCTTTTGTTTCTTTTGCCTTCGTGGATGTATCTTGCAAGAAGTTACTGTGGCCAAGTTCAAAAAGGGTGTTGCCTGTGTTCTCCTCTAGGATTTTGATGGAATCTTGTCTCACATTTAGATCTTTCATCCATTTTGAGTTTATCTTTGTGTATGGTGCAAGAGAGTGGTCTAGTTTCATTCTTCTGCATGTGGATGTCCAATTTTCCCAGCACCATTTATTGAAGAGACTGTCTTTCTTCCAGTGGATAGTCTTTCCTCCTTTATCGAATATTAGTTGACCATAAAGTTCAGGGTCCACTTCTGGGTTCTCTATTCTGTTCCATTGATCTATGTGTCTGTTTTTGTGCCAGTACCACACTGTCTTGATGACCACAGCTTTGTAGTACAACCTGAAATCTGGCATTGTGATGCCCCCAGATATGGTTTTCTTTTTTAAAATTCCCCTGGCTATTTGGGGTCTTTTCTGATTCCAAACAAATCTTAAAATAATTTGTTCTAACTCTCTGAAGAAAGTCCATGGTATTTTGATAGGGATTGCATTAAACGTGTAAATTGCCCTGGGTAACATTGACATTTTCACAATATTAATTCTGCCAATCCATGAGCATGGAATATTTTTCCATCTCTTTGTGTCTTCCTCAATTTCTTTCAGAAGTGTTCTATAGTTTTTAGGGTATAGATCCTTTACCTCTTTGGTTAAGTTTATTCCTAGGTATCTTATGCTTTTGGGTGCAATTGTAAATGGGATTGACTCCTT